GACTAGAGACACATTGTGAGAACATCTGTGCGAGAGCACTGCTGAGGACCTCTGTTCCGGGAACACACAATATCGTTCACGGCTTGGTGTTTCCACAGGGCTGGCCCTTCTGCCTGGGATCCTCCTCAGTTTCCTCTACTGACTGTGGTTCATCCTTTAAAAAACACAGCACAACGCAAATGTCATCTGCAGAAAGTTTTCTCAGAACCTCTAGGTTGGGCTGGCGGACCTCACTAAAGGTCCCCAGAGTACCAGGAGCCATGGAAGGTGGGCACGGTAGCGGGGGGGAAGGGGGGGGAGAGGGCAAGGCACTGGCCGAAAAGCAAGTGGTTTGGTTGGAAGTCTGTGCAGGGAGCTGATAAGCCCCAAGACCCCTTCCCCATGGCAGACAGCCCAGCAGGGGCTATGGAGGTCTCACCACTTGCATTTCCCTTCAAGATGGAGCTTGTCATCCAGCTGCGGCGAGCACAGTTAGCGGACAGCCTCTGTCTGCAGAGTCGTCAGGATGCACCTCAGTTCTTTCAGCGCAGCTGCCAGCCCATGACTGAGCACAACGGGGCATCCGGCATTTCTGCCCAGTTTGAGACTTCTCTGCCAAGCCGTCTTTGCTCTGGGGCTCCCTGTAGAGTTGGCTGGGGTTTGTTTGGGCAGATCTACATCGCGGGCTTAGGCTCTCCCGGCCCACACTTCCCCTCCCCTTCCTTTCTGCAGCTGTCTGACCTGCACTGCAGCCTGGGGATCCCTCCTGCCCAGATAAGCATCCTCCCTTGCACATCTTTCACAAGCATTCCCCCTCCTACAATCAACTGCTCGCACCCCTACCTCTGTCTCAGTCACCACTCCCCAGAGGATCCAACTGACACAGATGGTCCCAAGAGTTAGTGCAACAAAGCAGGTGGTAAGTTAGGTTTGTCGGCCTGGCTGGTCACGAGAATGCCATCCTGAGTGGGGCGTGGGGCACACGAGCAAGGTGGCAACCCCAACGCCAAAACTTGCAAAAATTCAGGCATTTGAAAAGTTCAGGGAGCAAGTCATGTGAGGACCATGGAATTTGCTGGTTGTTCCTGAGTCACATGGATGCCCCACAGCGGGTGAAGAAAAGCTGAGGGCAGTTAACAAACAAGTGGCAGTTAAGTGTGGGGGCCCTATTTCTTAAAATAGGAGAAAAGAAAAAAACCTAAGACCAAACTCAGAACTTTACAGTTAAAAAACTTCGAAGAGTCAAAATCTTTATGGGTATCCACCCAGATATTCCTATCCCGAGTGCCAGGGGCCCAGGGTTTTCCAAACAGCCTGAACTCCTCCTTTAGGGGAGATAGTAAATCAAAAACAAAATCGCGGGGCACGTGGGTGGCTCAGTCGGTTGAGCTTCCAACTCTTGATTGCGGGTCATGAGATGGAGCCCCACATCAGGCTCTGCGCTCAGCTCGCAATCTGCTTGTCCCTCTCCCTCCTCCCGCTTGCACTCTCTCTCTCAAATAAATAAAATCTTTAAAAAAAAAAATCACAACTTGGAGGAGCCCATGAAGATGAGCACCACCCTAAAGGGTCGCAAGGACGCAGGGCCGGGTCCCCATCAAGTCACCATTTAATTCACCAATCTGGCTGGATGCTGGAGAATGGCCACAGGCAGTTGCCGCCTCCTTCAAGTAGTGGCACCCACGGCAGCAGCCGTGCCCTGCGGCATCTCTTTTGCTAGAGCAGATTACAAGTTCCCTGGAACATAGTATCCAGCCATGGATCTGGTGAATGTGTTCTTTTCTATCTCAATCAAAAAAGAACATCAGAAACCAGGTGCATTCACGGTTTTGCCCCAGGGCTATGTTACTGGTTCTGCTCTCTGAAGAGACTTGGGTCTTCTGACCATCATGCAGAATGTCACACTGAGGGGCGCCTGGGGGGCTCAGTCATTAGGCATCTGCCTTCGGCTCAGGTCATGATCCCGGGGTCCTGGGATCGAGCCCCGCATCGGGCTCCCTGCTCGGCAGGAAGCCTGCTTCTCCCTCTCCCACTCCCCCTGCTTGTGTTCCCTCTCTCGCTGTGTCGCTCTCTGTCAAACAAATAAATAAAATCTTAAAAAAAAAAAAAAGAATGTCACATTGATCTATTAAACTGATGGCATCATACTGATCAGGCAGAATTAGCAGGAGGGGTTAGCACACAGCTGGCTTTGGTAAGGCACATGCAGCCTAGAAGGTGGAAGATAAACTCCATGAATATTCAGGACTTGCCATTTCAGTAAATTCTTAGGAGTCCAGTGATGAAAATCAAATTGCTTTTCCGCAGAGAAGGAAGCGCAGTGGCTGGGAGGCCTCTATGGATTCCGGAGGCAACACATTCCACACATAGGGATAATGCTCCAGCCCATAAACTGAGTGACACAGAGGCTGTCTGGGGCAGGGAGAGGGCCCTGCAGCAGGACCAAGCTGGGGGGCAAGTACCCCCGCCACTTGGGCCATCTGCTCTGGCAGGCCCTGTGGTAGTGGAGGTGTCAGTCATAGACAGAGATGCAGCATACATTTTATGGGGAGCCCCAGTGGGAGAATCACAGTGCAAGTACCTAGGGTTCTGGGGGGAACGGTGGAGAATTTTATGATTTTAGAAAACAGCTCCTGGCAGGTTACTGGACAGAATGCTTGACATCAAGTGACCATGTTTCCAGAACTGTCCATTACATGCTGGGTTCTTTTGGACTCACTGTTATGGACTGAATTGAGTTCTCCCTCCTCCCCAATTCATATGTTGGAGTCCTAACTTCTAATACCTCAGAATGTATTTGGAAATAACGTTGTTAAAGAGAAACTTAAATTAAAATGAGGTCTGGGGGTGGGGCTAATCCAATCCAATCCAATCCTGATCACACTGGGGCGAGCACTGTTCTTATAAGAAGAGTGAATTTAGACACAGACATGAGCATGCACAGAGAGATGACCACATGAAGACAGGGTGAAGGTGGCTATCCACAAGCCAAGCAGAGAGGCTCCAGAAGAAACCATCCCTGCCAACAACTTGATCTCAGACATCCAGCCTCCAGAAGTACGAGAAAATAAATTTGTTGTTTAAGCCACCCGGTCTGTGGTATTTTGTTACGGCAGCCCTGAGAAACTCATGCACCCAACTAGCCATCAAGTCGGGTGGGCCCAGTAGCAGTCCATGGTAAGATGAAAATGGCCCATTGGGATTGAGCCTGCGTGCAATCAGAGGGCACCAGTAAGCTGCAGGAGCAGGTAGGCTAGACTCTGATGTCACCAGCTTGGTTCTACCTCTCAGCTTATACCTGGGGCCACGTGAAAGGGCCCGGACAACCCACTGAAAGGGGAGGAAAAAACCCAACGTTCTAGACCAGTTGGCTTGTAATGTACAAGCCACAAATAGATGGGGGCTGCATTAAAACCACACAGGGGTGGGGCGCCTGGGTGGCTCAGTCGGTTAAGTGACTGCCTTCGGCTCAGGTCATGATCCTGGAGTCCCGGGATCGAGTCCCGCATCGGGCTCCCTGCTCGGCAGGGAGTCTGCTTCTCCCTCTGACCCTCCCCCCTCTCATGCTCTATCTCATTCTCTCTCTCAAATAAATAAATAAAATCTTTAAAAAAACAAAAAACAAAAAACCACACAGGGGTGACATTAAAAGAATGTGCAAAGGAGAAATCTGTCAAACAGCAGAGCTTTGAGCAGTGTACTTGCTCCTGCACTTTGTATAGAAGTGACCTGAGGTGAGAAATGTATGAATGCATAGGCAGCAGTGAATGGCCTGGTTAGCCACTTCGGAAACTTGGAAGGAAAAAGACTAGAGATGCGGAGATAAGAAGGCAGGCTTGGAGGTGTGTGAATGGCCACATGGGGTTGGCTGGGGAGTGTGAAGATCCAGGTGTCACACGTTGATGCCCACTAGAAAGCAACCACCGTGCAAGAGGCACTTAACCATCAGGTAGACCAAATGAGCAGGTTAATTGACTTTGGCTAGCCTTCACCATCAACTACCGCAGAACTGCCACAGCGGGCATAGGAATGGACTCACCATAGATGCAGACATGCAACCTACTCTCGGGCCCCCAGCACGTACTCTCACTTACCAAGGCCAGTCTAGCTGCTGCCACTGCCACACCCCCAACCTGCTGGCAACAAAGGCTGAGCTCCCAATAGGACACTAGTCCTTGAAGAAACCAACCAGTTACTCGGTGGTAAGTTAACTCCATCAAGCACTTTCCAGCCCGAAAGGGCCCGTGGTCTATTCTCACGATACTTTTTCTGTATGGATTTGCCCTTCCTGCCTGCAAAGCCTTAGGCAGCACCATCATCCTGCCCAATCTTGCTTCTTCTTTTATCATTACAGGTGTTAAATTTGAGCATGTTTCTGCACATTCCCTTCAGATTGGCTTCTTTCACTTAATAATAGGCAGGTAAGCTTCCTCTGGGTCCTTTCATGGCTTGACAGTTCATATAATTTGGATGCACCAGTTTATTTATCCATTTACCTACTGAAGGACATCTGGGTTGCTCCCAAGTTTGGACAACGACAAATAAAGTTAATGTAAACATCTGCAGGTTTTTGTGTGGACGTAAGTTTCAACTCCTTTGGGTAAATGCCAAGGGGTGCGATTGCTGGATGACATGGTAAGGGTACATTTAGTTTTGTAAGAAAACTGCCAAACTGTCTTCCAAAGTGGTTGTACCATTTTGCATTCCCACCAGCAATGTACGAGAGTTCCTGTTGCTCCACATCCTTATCAGCATTTGGTGTTGTCAGTGTTCCAGATTTCGGCCATTCTAATAGGTATCTAATTTTTGTTTTAATCTGTACTTCTCTGATGACATATGATGTAGAACATTCATTTTTTTTACACTTTTTGCATAAAGGTTTTTTTTAACTGGTTTATCATTGTGTTCCTAATGCTTGCCAAGGTCATCTCCTGAGACTAGATAAATGATAAAGGTTAAGCTATATTGAGTATATTGAAGTCTGAAATAAAAGTGTACACAAAAATATGTGCAAAAAAAAATGACACAGAGAAAGTGTTTTTATTTTGTCATCTACCCTCAATGACCGAAGTTCACCAAAGACCATTTGCTTTCAGTTGGTCCCATTTTCTACCTATAACTTCCTTGCCTCTCCAAGCTCTCACCTCCACGCCCTGGTGCCCATTCCCCGCTCCATTTCTTCTAGCTACCAGCCACCCCCAAGAAGCGCTTTCTTTCCTACACAACTAGGACCAGTGGGCATCACTTCAGTCATTCTCACTCTCAGCCCTCTGCTCCCTCCGTCCCTCCTGACTCCGACTATGCCCACCTCTGGATCAATCTACTTTTACACATGTCAGAATTCTGGAACTACAATGTTCAACTTCAGTTTGTGTTTCACTCCTGTTTGGCAAATCCTCTTATTAACTTTGGATCTGCTTATTCTTTTCTTGATCTCCACCTCCTCAAGGCCCTTACTCCACTCTTATTCCCCTCCTTTAACCACTTCCGACTTAATGACCTTGCTACCCACTCCACAGAGGAAACAAGCCATCATTCATGCCCTGAAGCCAGAAAGCTGGGCAGTCTTGGACTCCTTTCCCTTTCTCAATGCAATATCCAGTCAGTTGCTTTTTCCAGTCATCTTAAAGTTGTTAGGAGACAGAGAAATTAAAAATATTTAATCAAGTAATATAAAATTTTTTCTACAGCAAAATAAAAACATACCTTACTAAAAATAAAGCCACATTCTACATTAAATACATTAAAATATTGATACTTTTATAAATAAAATCATTTTAAATGGTAAATACATGATAAAATTTCTCTCATATGCTGTTACTTATATATAGTTCAACAACTGATTTCGAAAATATAAAAACTACATCCTTCTTTTAAAAAACATTTAACTTAATATTACAAAATTATCAAAAGTTAAAAAGTGCTAAATTCTCGTCCATTGTTCCCATTTTAAAACAATTATAGCACATCAGATCTTTAAAAAAAGATGAATGTGGGCATATGGCTCATCCTATATTGCCTAAAAATGAAAACTTGAGACTTTCTGGGCAGTGGGAGAGGCTGGGAAGCTGAGTTCAGTGCCAGCCAAGGCTGTCATCCATGCAGAGCTGTTTCCCATCCTGGTTCTCAGAACCACGAGATTCCTCCTTCCTGGCCCCCCTTCTACAGACAGGTCTTTCTAGGCCTACTGGTTCCAGACTTTCAGGAGAGAAGGTTTCTGAAAGAATCTTGATATTTAACTCATATGGCAATACTAAAACAATTCTAAATATTGAGGCATTTTTGCATTTGAATTTTATGCAAAAGTCACAAATCTAATTCCATCTGAAGAGGACACTTCATCTGGTCACTTGATTTCATATTGCTTGTTGAGGTAGGATAATTTCTCTGAAAACTGTCCTTTCTATACAAACGGTGGTTGTACTGGAAAGGGTTCTAATGCTTTTTCTGCATTCTTCCAATTGTGAAAATTCTCTCTGTACCAGTCAACTGGTAGGAAAAAAACAAAAGACGAAAATAAAAAACAAAACACTAAACACCAGTTAACCAATATTTACTGGGTTCTTGCTAAGTAAGAAAAATCCTGCCCATCAGCTACTCACCTAATTTTACTTAGATTCTTAATTTAAGTAAGAATCAGTCTTGCCAAAGGGATGCCTCATGAAGAAAACAATTTGATTCTGAACTAACCAATGTCATTGATCACAAGATGTTTTAATACCCGAAAACTTAGATTTAAAAATCAATTATTGTTTTCTTTTTAACTTCAAAAGTCCTTCAGTGCTGAATTTGCTGGTGTAAGTGTTTAAGACATTCTAAGAAATTCAGGGACAGAGATAAGTCATTTGCACTGGTTTTAAAGTTACAGAAAAAAATGCAATGTTTTGCTCATGTAAATGCAGCAATATTACATTACAGGCATAATGAGATGGTGTGATCTTCCTTCTGGTAATATGTAAAATTAGTTTATGTGGCTATACTACCAGTAAAGTGTTTTTTTAGTTAAAAAATGATAAATTATCTTTGAATTGGCTTTTAAAAATTCAACACATCTACTCTGTGTCAAGCTCTAAATGAACACTTCTTTTCTACATGTGAGTTTATCTTTTCTCATAAATACATTTTTAAACAAAACTTTAACATATATACAGATTTTATATATGCTCATTTTAATGGCTATTTCTGCACATACTAAATTTTGTTTGTTTCAATATAAAAAGACTTAAGACACTCAAAGATTGCAACTGTCGATATCTCATCAAATCTAAGATGCCACTGACCTCAAAATGGACCGTTATTTTACATATTACCAAGAAAGAAAGGAAGATGGAATAATAATAAGACACTTGTGACATTAAAACTCACACCTTTAAAGGATGTGAAAAAAGTGAAAAATTTGCACCTAAGTATCAATGAACTAGGTTTCTGACAAATGCTGATAAGACACAGGAAGCCTAAGCAGAAGTCTGGGTGTGAAATTCAAGATGCTTAGGAGATATGTTACTGTTGCTGGAAATATATGAGATGTAATAACTTGAAAAGTGAAAATGATGCATCACGACATTCTACTGAATTTATAGTGTTCTAAAAGTAAATTATGTTCCCTTTAAATTTTTCTGAATCTCCTCTCCCCCCGCACCAAAAGGATCAATGCATAACATACTTGTTTTCTTTATTCCTTCTTTCCAAGGCACTTTGGGTCTCCATCCTAAGCCATGTATTTTTTCTGACTTCATTGGATATCTCATGTCATTGGTAGGTCTCGGAAAACAAAACAGATTTAAAATGACATTGTGGATATATATTTACAAATTTAATACTAAGAGAACTAATGTGTGCCCATGAATCTTTACCATAATTCAAATTTTTTCTTAAAAAATTCTCCCTGATGACACACTTATAGAAAATTTGTAAAATAAAGTACATATTAAAAAAAAAAGCATCTGTAATCCCAGAGGCCTAACCCTCTCCGTGGCTCACCCTTTTCTGCTTTCAGCCATGATCTGGGTATGAATGCAGTGCCTCATACCTAAATGTTTGATGAATGAATAAATAAATCCACATAAATGTATTAGGGCTCTTATGTTCTACACCCTGGGTACTTTATATACATTATAAATAAGACCTTAAAATACTTCTGTTAACAAGACATTATTATCCCTATTTCACATTCGAGGAGACGTCAGACTTGGAAAAGGTCAGTAACTTTCTTTAGTCACACAGCTAGTAGGCAATAATGTTACACTTTATTCTTTGACACATAATTAGGAAAAAGTATTTTAGCTGAAAATTCAAGAGCAATAATAGTAGTTTCTGGTTAAGTCCATATATTTTAGAATTGTGTAAGTATCTAAGATTTCACAACCTTTCCCCAATGTTTTAACTTGTAACTCACCTATCATTAACATAATCCACCCAGTTTTCCATTTCGGACTCTGAACTGGTCTCTTTGATCTGTCAAAATGGAGAAGGCTTTTGAGTCAAAATTACAAAACAAGACCAGAGAATAACAAAGGTATTCAATAGCTGATTAAAAAGACAAGAAAAACAACCCCTTGGGGTGCCTCAGTGATGCCCTCTGTTAAGCACCTAACTCTTGATTTTGGCTCAAGTCATGATCTCAGGGTCGTGAGATCGAGCCCCACGGAGTCAGCTTGAAGATTCTCTCTCCCTCTCCTCTCCCCTCCCCTGCCCATGCGCACACTCTATCTCTCTCTCTCTCAAATAAATAAATAAATCTTTACAAAAGAAAAATAACCCCTTCAAAGTGGAGGAGACAGCTAAAATGAAGAGCATTTTAGTAACACTTTCCATGCTTTATAACCCACATTCCATCTGAAGCTCACACAGAATACACGTTGCATAAACTAGGGGAGAAAATTAATTTTTTGACTCTTGGTTATTATTCAGTATGATACTGTAATTTATGATATGAAGGATATATTTGGTCTTTATCCAAGTTCCTAAACCCTTGGAATTTCCTAAGTGATGAGAGATAAGAGTGTCTTTTGCTATTCATAACAAGCCCCTTTTAAGCACACCAGAGTTTATGTTAATGAGTGAATTTTGGAAAGCCCCTAAGGATGGGGGCTGGTTGCCAAGGGAACCAACCCTGTGCTCTGAGGGCTGGAGGTTGAATTCATAGCCAGTGGTCAATGATTTAACCAATCATGACTACTTAATGAAGTCTCCATAAAAAAACAAAACAAGGGGGTTTGGAGAACATCTGAGCTGCTGAAAACATGCAGGTACTGGGAAGGTGGCAAGCCCAGAGAATGCATGATCAATCCACGCTCCTCTCTCATACCTCGCCCCAGGCATCTCCTCCCTCTGGCTGTTCCTGACTTCTATCCTTTGCAATGAGCCAGTGAGTCGCTGTGTGTGTGACTTCTGTGAGTCACTCTGGCTAAACACCTCTGCCCTATCGCCAGTGGTCAGAAGCACAGGGGACAACCAGGTTTTGTGGTTGGCGCATGAAGCAGGGGATCGTCCTTGGGAGGACTAAGCCCTTAGCCTATGGGATCTGAAGCCGTCTCCAGGCAGATAATGTCAGAATTGAGTTAAATAAGAGGTCACCCAGCTTGTCTCTGAGAATTTCTTGGTATGGAAAACCCACATGTTTGGAGTACAAAGTATTCTGAGAGCAGTGTAAAGGAAGAGTATTTCAGTACACCAAGTCTCCCTTTCTACTGAATCCTGAGACTGAGAATTGATGTTCACTCATACATACATACACTCCCAACTATAATTACTTACAGGTCATCGATCCTTAAGATTAGCACACACAGTTTTGTATTCTGACATTGAGGTATTTGTTATAATGAATATCTACACTGAATGTGTTAGGATTGTTATTTTCCTGAAAAGCTGTTATAAATGAGTGATAGAACGTCCAGTAATGACATATCTCCATGTACTTTTCATTTTTTTACTCATTCACTTTCCAACTGAGTAAATTGTAAATTGCTGATTTTGACTAAATGATTAGTGCCACTAATTTAATGACAATTCTGAAAACACTACCCTTTTGCAATATATACATACCAGTTGTATTAGTTCTTTGGCAAGCTGGAGAACTGACATTTCAAAATTGGTTCCGATGTTGTAAATTTCACCTGGCTTCCCCTTCTTGAGGACAGTGAGAAATGCTTCTACTACATCAGTCGCATAAAGGAAATTTCTTGTTTGAAGCCCTGATCCATGAATGCAGCTAAAAAGATTAAATGAAAGGGATCATAAAGTATAAAAAGTAAGCTCTCCCCAAACAGGGTAACACAACTCCAGAGAAGCCAATTCCCATGGGGAGCCTAGAAATCTCTTACTGAAAACACAAATTCTCATGACTTTTCTAAATTTTATCCGTAATTTTTAAATGACCACCGAACCTCCTACAGCACTCAGGGGGTAAGTTGCAAACATATAAATGACCCCTGAGAAATAAGTTATTCATCAATTTTCTACCTTAAATTCATCTTGAAGAAATATGTATAGCTCTGTGAATTAGATAAATCCTCTGGAAAAGTAAAATTATATAAAGACTGATGTCAGATCTTAATGCGATAATTCAAAGTTCTAGGATACATTATTTAAGAATTGAAATTATAAAAAAAATTCAAATTATCTAAGTAAATTATAAAGATGAGTAACAGACTGTAATTATTTAAAGAACCATCACATTGATTGTAGAAGGAATTCATAAATTTGTTGAAACATTCCATTCTATGGCCTTCAACTCTTAAGACTATGATTTTCAAGAAAGGCTGTCACTGAATACTATCCACATACCAGAAAAACATATGGGTACAAAGGTAAATAATAACATACCATTTCCTGTTGTGTTGTAGTAAAGATATAAATTTTGGAATAACCTAAAAGAATATTTAAATATCATTTCAGACATTGGAAATTCACTCATTAATATGAATCTAACTCATCTTAAGATTAATAGATTATGATTATTAAGAAATATACATAGAGGTAAATTCTAATTCTTATCAGTTCAAGAAAAAAGCTATTGTAATTTTGATAAGTGAGAGAACTCTAAAATAGCTTCCTATTTCACAAAAACAAGATATCTGCTGGACAAACATAAACACAAAATGATACAAATAGTGTAAAAATTCAGAAAAAGTCTTCATGAACAGTTTGGTCTCATCACAAAAGCTCACCTTTGATTTCATAAGGGCAGGAATCATATCTTATTTATTGCTTTGCATACAGCACCTATTCAATCAGTGCTTGTGAAATTAATAAGAAGTAAATTCCAGTGCCATTGACCTCAAAGAAAAGTCATGTTAAACAGGGTGAGATATATTATTAAACTTACAACGCACCTCTGAAAGATACTTCCCAAATTAAGCAAAGTAGATATTAAGACCAAGAGATCATGACATGGCCCCTTTCTTTGGCCGAATAGATAAATGCAATGAGCTGGAAAGTGAAAAACCCTATCTCCAAATTTTTAGGCACAGAAGGTAATGGTTACTTCAATTAGGCTTAATGATAACAGAACCAACTGCACAGTTGGTTCAGCCTTTTAACTACATTTCTTTATTCACTACTTGTACTACTTTCTGGAAGACATTCAGGCCAGCAACAGTAAAGAGGAGCTGGGGAACAGTGAGTCAGCAGACGGGAAGACAAATTTCTGTACAAGCTTCCCGCCGGACTCTCTAACTAGCTCTCAAATTTCTAGATTGCAAACCAGGAAGGAGTCTTCAGCAACATGACAGAATGCTCTATAGTGCTTCAGAATCGTGAAGAGCACCAGGCATTTCCACATTACCATCTCACTGGATCCTTCAAAAATCCCTTCTGAGTATTTTCATTATCCCCCAATTCAAAGATGATGCTCCAAGGGCCTAAGGTCACGCCATCTGGTGTCAGGTTGAGACTTGAACTCAGGTCTTCAGACTCTAAACCTGATGAGATTTGCATGTGTGGCCTATACAGTGCTTATAATTATGTACAATTACAGCAGAAATTATTCCAGACAAATAACTGAAGAGAGATTATCTTAAATAATGAGAAGCTATAATCACTAAAAACACACCACGGATTCACAAAATGTACCTTTTCTGGATACTGATGTGGTCCGTAAACATTACTGCTTCGCGTGATGACGGCTGGAAACTTAAAAAAGTAGTCAATGTTAATGCAATAAGAGGTCCAATTGTAATGATTTTCTGAAGATAGGCAGTCCTAAAAGATGGACACCTGCAGCTAAGTAACTCCACACACCTTAAGGACAGAAGCGAAGGGATTTTTTTCTGATGTAAGGTTCCTGAAAATATGGGAGAAGATAGGATTCAGAGAAAGGCAGAGGCTCGTAAAAGGAAAAGGAATATTTTCTTTCCTGGGACAAGAGCAGGATGAATATAGATGGGGGCAGGTTAGTTAGGTTTGATAGCAGGAAATTAAGGGAATGTCTACCCGATGATTTCAGAGACTGCGTCTTGGACCTTAGGTTTGGTTAGATGTGAAACTTCACGTTGTCTTTCCCTGATGCACCAACACTTACAAATAAAAAGAGCTACTACAAAAGGGAAAAGGGCCAGTGCTATGGAAAACAAAAGGCAAGAAAATGTCAACTCCCATTCACGAGGAGCCAAGAGAGGTGAACCATGCAGAGACGAGCATGTGGCAGGTCACAGAATCTGGCCCCCACTGTCTTCCACAGGATTCTGGGAATCAGGATATTCCAAGAGGGCTTTTCCCTACACCTGTAATACTCTACGTACCACTGAAGTAGAAAACATATACATAAATTATTCCTTTAAGTGGTGAACTGAACAAGAAGTAGGTCCTACTTTGTCCACACAATATAGGAAATAAGTATTTTAAACTCCTTAATATATAAACTCCTCAATCTATGTCTTCAACTCTAAAAATGGAATGTGGCTAATGCTAACTTGGAGTTGTATCACCTAAGTCAAAAGAAAAATGATTCAAAAGGAGTTCTGAAATCAGTTCTTACTTTATATCGTTCCCAGTATGACTGTACAAAACACTCAGCAGCTGCTTTAGATGATGCATAAGGATTTGTAGGTTGTTTGGGTGAAGATTCATCAAATTCCTAATTTTAAAAAGATGCATTAAAAAATACACCTATTATGCACAGTTTCTAAGCAGAAAAATCAGAAACATATTATAAACCTGAAATGTTAATTACTGCACATTAGAAGACATTTACTGAACCCCAACTATGTCCCTGGCATTTTTCTAAGCATTTTTTATAGAGCAGCATTCACAACAACTCTATAAGGCAGGCAGAGAGAACAGCAAGTGCAAAGGTCCTGGGACAGAACTGTGTCCAAAGGAACTGCAAGGAGGTTGATGTTAGAGAAGAGAAACAGGAGATGAAGCTGGAAAGCTAGAGGGAGGCCAGAACATGCAGAACCCTGAAGGCCTGTGTCACAATATGAACATTTTGGAGTCCCTCAGTGTGTATAATGAGGGGATGAAAAAAGCCCACAAAAGGTTTTAGTAAGACAGATTTGCATTGTGGTCCATGGTAAGTAGGTGAAACATACCATTTCTGAGCTTACCTTATCAAGACTGCCTCCGTATACTTCATCTGTGCTCACGTAAATAAACTTCTCCACTCTGGCTTCATGAGCAGCACTTACCAAAACATGAGTGCCATAGACATTAACATACGTAAACTCAAAGGTGCGTACAAATGAAAGATCTAAAAAAAGAGAAAAAGCTAGAACAATTCCATCCAAAGGAAAAAACAAATACCCAACAGTAGACTCGGGTTTAAGGAAAGCTCTATTCACTTCTCTTCATTCACCACAACTGCAATAGTTTAAAAAAATAACAAAAATACATTGCTACTTATGATTGCTTTAAGCCTAAATTATGAAGTACATGAAAATTCTTACAACCTAGAAAACTATCAGTGCTAAATTTGCAGGAAACACTTTTTTCTTATTCTAAAAAGAAAAAAATGATACATCTAAATTTAAAACATTCTTAAATTTAAAACTTGAAACTTCTAGTTTCTCCTAATAGACGGCAAGGCTTTTCAGATCAATCTGTTATTGCTGAAAACACAATAAATGCTGGATAAATTATTTTTAAAATAAATTTACTTTGAAGAATAGGTTCTCTATAATCTGGGAATGAGGGGAACTTTACTAAAAATGGCTCACAATCCAGAAACAAAAGGAAAAAAAAAAAACTGATCAGTTTGACTATGTAAAAGCTCTTGCATAGAAAAAACAAACAACCAGAAAATCTATAAACAAAGTAAAAAGACAAATGACAAACTGGGACAAATATTTGAACTTATCAGAAACAAAGGGCTAATATATTCAATCTATAAAGAAATTATAAAAAATAAAAAGGAACAACCCTTTTGGATAGGAGACATAAACAACTAGTTTAGACAAGAAATACAAAGGTCCTTAAGCTTAAGATGCTCAGCCTCAATTACAATAAGGAAAATCCAAAATGAAAACTCATACATACCACTCCTTACCTATCAGACTGGCAAAAAATTTTAAAATTTGACAATACCTTCTGTTGGTGAGGCTATGGGGGCAGATACTTTATACATTAGGAGTAAGAATACAATGTGTTTCAACCCCTAGGGAAGGAAATTTCTCAATATCTAGGTAAATTACATATGCTTTTATCCCTTAAGCCTGGTTATCGGGCTGAACTGTGTTCCCAAATTCATGATAGAGCCCTAACCCCAAGTACCTCAGGATGTGCCTATATTTGGAGATAGGGCCTTTAAAGAGGTGACTGAATAAAAATAAGGTCATTCGGGTCCCTAGTCCAACATGACTGGTATGCTTCAAAGAAGAAATTTTGACACAAAAAGAAACACTAGGGATGCGCAGGGGGAAACTATGTGAGGACACAGTGAGAAAGTGGCCATCTGCAAGCCAAGGAGAGAAGATTGAGGAGAAGCCGGCCCTGCCAGCGCTTGGACTTCCAGCCTCCAGAAAGGTAAGAACTAAATTTCTGTTGTTTAAGCCCTCAATCTGTGGTATTTTGTTATGGCGGCCCTAGCAAACTAATCTACCCTGAATTCCTCCTTCTAGGAACCCCTACCCAACATCAATTGACAAATATACAAAGGACACAGGCACGAAGCCATCCACTGCAGTACTTACTATTTAAATAGCAAAATGTAGGAAACAAACACAAATGTGGTACATCTACGCAATGGAGTATATGAAAATAAAAAGGAATGAGGAATATCTCAATATTCTGTTATACTCTCCTAAATATACTGTGGAGAAGACCAAGGGAAATTATAATTTTAAAATCAGGTAATAAGGCAATAATACACTAACTACCAATGAGGATTCAGCAACATTCTATCTTTTGTTTAGGTGATGGCTATATGGGTATTCATATCATCATTACTCATTTAGCTTTACTTCTAAATTCTTCTGAAAGTATGGTATATTGCACAATATAAAATGATAGACAATTAGAAGATATCTCAGATGCACAAAACAGTATGGATAATAATATAATGTTCAACTGTGTATACACAAGACCCAGCTTTAAAAAAAAAAAAAAATTAAAAACACAGTTGAAGGCCCATCTCCCCAGAAGTAATCACTATATTGAATTTAGTTAAACTCAAAGTTTTAAGATAGCATTCAAGGTTATATTTCAACCTACATGAATAAAAGTGCCTGGAAAAGCACCCAGTTTTCCTGGTAGGGCATGGCATGTGCTCTTTCAAAGACATATTAAGCCCCTACTTGTTTGACTTCAATACTGGACTTTGATTTAGGCTAATTAGTCACTTGGGAAAAAAAATGCCCTTCGTAACTGTAACATAAAACAATGCTTACCTACATGTGTTTGTGCAGCAAAATGTAGTACTATATCTATTTTTTCTGTTTCAAAAAGCAGTTTCACGAAGTGAGAATTACATATGTCACCCTATACGAAAAGCAAACAGGAAAAAGCAAAATTTCATTCAGCACTCCCATTGGTAGTAACTATTTTACTACATGAACCCAAACATTGATAAGAAAAAAATTAATCCCCCACCACCCTGCTTTAATAGAGAATATCTTGAAAATCCAACCAAGGGGTCAAGTAAGTATAGTAATGATGTATTTCTCCAGCATCCTAGGATATAAGATATTCAATTCAAGATACTTTTTTGCAAATGTGTCTAAAACAGTATTTTATCAAACACCAACTACGACTAAGAACCATGCTAGCTTTTTCCCATAACATTCTTGCCAAGCTCATGTTAACAGGAAACCTTTAAAACATATTTTTAAAGTTTGAGGTAACCATTATTGCAATATATTTAAAGTAAGTGTAACAATTACAATGACATTTTAAAAAATGTGTTTCACCACAACTAAGTGAACTTATGAGTACTTTTGATTTTATATGTACATTTAATTCTTCTAAAAATATGTATTCTCAACAATTCTTTGGTGACTGAAAGAAACACTTTCATATAGAAGAGTAGAATTATAAAATGTTTGCTCAGTATATTCTTTATAATTTGTGGTGAAAAAGAGAGTTTATAGATTATCTTTTTTAAAGAAAAACATAAATCATGAGTTAAATAGTTTCATCTGACATTAAAATTTCCCTTTGCAACTTAATGACCTGGCTCTCTGGTTTATACTTTGGACTCTTCTAAGAGTGCCTAGTAAGACTCAGCCTTCCAGAGCCAATCAATCCACCCTCATAGAAGAAGATCATCCCATGGGCTGTATGTTGGGCTTTTTGGCTGTTGCCTGGCCTGATTAACAGTCCCCTTTATACCAATCTCTTTAAATCCCAGCAAGGCCTCATTAAGGCTAGTGAGGACCTAAAAATCATAAACCACGTAAGTTCAATCACCTCCCCATAGATCTGCCAAGGCACCAAAAATCACATGCAGCTTTATAGTGGTATTAATCTAAAATCAGTATTCTTGGGTGCCTGGGTGGCTCAGTTGGTTAAGCGACTGCCTTCGGCTCAGGTCATGATCCTGGAGTCCCAGGATCGAGTCCCGCATCGGGCTCCCTGCTCTGCAGGGAGTCTGCTCCTCCCTCTGACCCTCCCCCCTCTCATGTGCTCTCTCTCTCATTCTCTCTCTCTCAAATAAATAAATAAAATCTTTAAAAAAAAAAAAAAAATAAATAAAATCAGTATTCTCTATAGCACGTGGTACTTCTGGAAATTAAAAGGTCTTTAATAAGCATGCTTTCCAAGCCCACATTACACAAGCTTGCGAAGTAGAAAGATAAAATGTCTGAATGGCTAGAGACACACCATAATAATTACATAATTATAAGAAAAGTTTCATACCTGTATAAATTTGTAGTTTTGTTTATTAGAAATGGTTTCAAGATTCTTCAAGCTTGCACAGTAATCCAGCTTAAAACAATTAAGTGAGGGAGGGGGAGAAAACAACACAAAAAGTGATAATAGTTTTTCCTATAAAATATTTTAAAGACTGTAGATGTTCTGATCATAATATAAAAACATGTCTTTTTAAAGTGTTTGTTCTTTGTGTTTTTAGAAGAAGTCTCTGATATCTTAAAAAGTAAAAAACAAAAACCATGCAATTTTGTTACCTTTTCAAAATACAAAAAAAATTACTTTTTAGAAACCCCTCCTTTAAAAAATTTTTCTGCCCAGATTTGCCCCCAGCCACCAGAAAAGCTTACCATTTCTTACTGCAAAGGAATTAGTACTTGAAAACAATTACACCTGTGTTATACATATTATAACTCATTACACTGTTTCCTGAGTTAATTGCTGGTAAATCCCCATACAAAGGGGGAAAAAAATTACTGCCCCTGATAGTAAGGCAGGCAAAAATTGATAAGACCTACAGATTATTCTGTCTATAGATTTTTACTATTACATTTTATGAAACTAAGGTAACTAATCGCATCTGTGTTTAAAGTAAAAAATCCAGTGATTACCAATCATGGCTTTCAGACTCTCCAGGGAGACTTCAATTATTACAGAAAAATCCTCAAAGCTAAATTAGTTTTAATTTAAGAAGTAAATGTGTAATTTTCCAGAGGTGGCAGTTCTAATAAAATAATAAATTATAAGTTATAATAAAATAATAAAATCAAATAATGAGAGTATCCCAACTCTGGAAAAAGGTTAATAATCACAAGATTACACTAAATATTTAGGTTGAAGATTTTCTTTTGGTAAAAATACTGCACTTACAACCTTTACTTTATGGGCTATCATAATGAAAAACTTTTAAAAGACTAAGATTAAATACAGCATGATCACATGACTATGTAGGCCTCTAAGTTGTTAAAATGACTAAAAAATTAAAATATCAGCGTGATAAGATTCTAATACTTAAAAAAAATGTACATAAATGTCAGTGCATGAAGCTCATTTTTATAAAACTCACCTTGTCTAGATTTATGATCATATAGTTTGGATAATCTTCTACTAAAGAGACAATCACATGTGATGCGCTTTAAGAAAAAAGTATATTGTGTTAGTAGAAAACTTAACCTTTTCCCTAAATTCTTCACATTTCTTAAATGTTACCTTAACCTGTTGAGTATTAGGAAACATTCAAAGATACCTTTAAGTTTCTGCAAAATAACAGAAATAACATAACTACACTGAATACACTCCTTCCCCACCCCCACTTTTCACTAACTTTCTCACAGTATCAATAATCGGTACTGATATATCGATATCCCTTTGCACTGTGTAGAAAAGAGAATTTACTGGTCCTAGGTATAAGGAAAAAAAAATAGTTTAACCAAATGATTTTGTCCATGTGCTTTGAGTGTGGGAGCAAAGCAGGATAAATACAATGGGAGGTGGTCAGTACAGATAGACTTAAACTGTAACATACCTTTTAAGACACTGTAGGTATAACTATGCAAAACTTAAGTTAGTATGAGCATAGGAGTTGTCTATGTTCACAGTAACCCTTGCTATCTCTTGGTACAAGAATTTGGTCGTGTAAACTAGAATCCTCTGGGAGGTTCTAGATTAAACCTAGGTTTACAAGGCTAATAATGGCTGAGGCCATCCTGAGTTAGAAAGCCATAGTGGCTCCTGGGTTTCCGAGGACCTGAAGTGGAACCATCTGTCAGTGAGATGATCCACCAGATTTTCTCATAGACACAAAAACATTGGGCTCCCAGGAACAAGGACAGCCCTTGACCAAATTATGAACTCAGAGTTTGTATTTGACGGCCCTTTCACATCATTTTCTAGAACTTGCCCTTCCGGGACCAGCATTCTCACACAAGGACCACCCTTTTATGCCCATGCCCCTCTTCTCATTAGATAAACCCTGCCTGTCTGATACCCTCCTCCAAGTTATTGTCAGATTTGAAGAGGTGATTTAAGGTGCTAATGGGGGAGGTGATTCCCATGCTCCTCTTCCACTAGACATTGGGAGTTTCCTGTTGGTACCTGTGCATTTGTCCATTCAATAACTACTGAAGACCTTTGTAAAATAAGCCAGGCATTTTTATAGATGCTGAGTGAACAGTAGTCTCTGCCCTCATCCAGTTGACATTCTACAGCGGGGATGCAGACAATAAGCAAGTAAACACTAATACACAAAATAACTTCAAACTTCAGGTAGTGATTAGTGTGTTAGTTGGGAAAGGGGCTATTTTAGATGGGATGGCCAGGTAATGCCTGTCCCAGGACGTGATATCTAAGTAACCATCCGAACTGAGAGATGCAAGCACTCTAACCAAAGGGGAAGCAAGTGCAAAGGCCTCAAGACAGGAGGAATGGGCCTCATGTGTTCCAGGAACTCCAAAAAGGTTAAGTGTGGCAGGTACAGAAAAGCAAAGAGGCAGAATGGCAGATCAGGTTGGAAAAGTAGGGCCCGGACACTTGAGTCTTCTAGATATGCTAAAGAGTTTGGATTGTCTTCTAAGTTTGACAGGAACCACTGGGGTAAGACTCTTATGCACTTACTTAACAAACACTGACTTCTTTGTGCAGAACAGACTTTAAGGGAACAAGAGGGGAAGCTGTATGACCAATCAGGAAGCTACAGTAGTAATCTAGACAGAAGACAGTAATGAGGACTAGAAGAGGAGGGGGAGGGGAGAGAAGTGTTCGCTTCGGAAGCAGTGAAAGAGGGCTCACTGATTGCATGTGGGTGTGAGAGAGAAAGAGGCATCACATATCTCATCCAGGTCAAAGCACCAAAAGAGAGTTTTTTGTTGTTATTGTTGTTGTTGTTGTTTTTAAGCCCTCTGAATAAATGAATGTCCTACTATAATTCAAAACTCGTTTCTTGGCGCTTATACGTACAAGGCCTGCCTGTGTACGGAGGGGGCGGGATGGAGGCTGGGGCAGTTGGTGAGAAGCTTACTGCAATGTCGGGGCACTAAGAAGAGTGTCAGGTGCATCCCGGGCCAGGTGAGAGGGCAGATGGAACCACAGCACTTTGATTTTGATTGGGAGGCATCTTAAAGAAGTCGCAGTTTCAAAGGAACCAAGTCTTCGCAGACCGGGAGAAGGGGAAGAAGGTAGGCTGATCCTGGTCGTGCGTGAAG